GGTGTTTCAGGCTTCTTAGGGCATATTCCTAGAAGTGGGATCTCTGGGTCAAATGGAAGTTCAATCTTTAATTTTTTGAGGTAACATCATAGTGTTTTTCATAGTGGCTGCAGCAGTCTGCATTCCCACCAGCAGTGTACTAGAGTCCCCTTTTCTCCACACCCTCGCCAGCACTTGTTGTTTGAACCTGGAGCATCTTTGATATCAGCATCCGGAGGGGTCATTGATCGTCTGATCTGCTGCTGTTCTACTAGCCTGCCAACAGTGTGCTTGTTTGGGAAGGTGCCTAGTCTTATGTATTTTCTTTCCTACTCAGTGTTCTGTGTATAGAAGGATCTGCTACAGTCAGTCCTATCTCTTCATCACGCTCATTCCTATTTTCATGATTGTACTGGACTTAGATAAGGCATACTGGTTCTAAGTCTTACAACTACCTTGAGGCAATTTAAGCAAACAGGGAAATTATTTTAAGGATATGGAGTATTCTCACAGAAGCCCAGTACAAGAATGCAGTGAGGAACTCCAGAAGGATGTAGCAGGCTCTAGAACCAAGACATCAGGATTTTTCTCTTGCTTCTTTTCTCTGCAGATCAACCCCCCCCCACCCCCCACCCCCACTTCTCTGCCCCTCTGCGGCTCTGGTTTTACATGCTCCAGTTCCAGCCATTTCTGAGACAGAGAATTTGATCGACTTGGTTTGGGTCACCATCCAGTGCAATCTAGTGGATATTGCCACAGTGATCTTGCTCAAATCCTTTCTCTGTCTGAATTTGTTAGTTTGCCTAAACTTTATGCATCCTCAATACCCCAGAAGGAATCTCTAATTTTAGAACCATAAAGATACTTTGATAGTCCAAGTTATTATTTTTACCTCAGTTCTTCCTGACAACTTCTTTTCTACCCTTAGTGTTTAGTATTATATTAATTTTGTGTTATGTTAAGCAATAGGTTATTTTTAAATTGTTTTATTCAGTGATATTTTGATTTCCACACTGGTAAGCATTTTGAGGAGGGGCAACATATTTCAGATTTTACTTCTATACACTTGGGTGTTTAACTAATATTTGGTGAATTGATTAAAGTGTTTGATAAGGGCTTTGGCTTCTTTGAAAGAGTTAAAAGAACTAATTCTGTTAAGTTTCAGGAATTTCTTCTTTTCTTTTAATTTTTTTTTTCTTTATTGATTTTAGAAAGGAGAAAGGAATTTTAGGAGGAAGGGAGTGGGAAAGAGAGATAGGCTGCCTCCTGCATGTCCCCCACTGGGGATTGGGCCCATAACCTGGGCATGTGCCCTGACTGGGAATTGAACCAGTGACCTCTTGGGTACGTGGGTCAATGCTCAACCGCTGAGCCACGTTGGACAGACTCTTTTCTTTTTTAAATAATGCAAAAATAGGTTTATTTGTACACACAACAATGAAGGAAAGCAGTGTTCTTTGAAATGGAGATTAAGATTCTTTTTAAAAAATATATGTTTTTATTGATTTTAGAGAGAGTCTACGGCCATACCACCCTGAACGCGCCCGATCTCGTCTAATTTTAGAGAGAGAGGAAGGGGGAGAGAGAGAGAGAAACAGAGAAAGAGAAAGAGAGAAACCTCAGTTGGTTGCCTCCCTTTACCTGGCACCAAACCCTCAACCTGGGCATGTGTCCTGACTGGGAATTGAACTGGCGATCTCTCTGTTCACAAGACGACACTCAACCAACTAATCCACACTGGCCAGGGCAAGATGAACATTCTATTTAAAACAAAAAACAACAACAACAAAAAACTATGTTTTTATTGATTTTAGAGAGAGAGGGAGAGAAATATAGATTGGTTGCCTGCTGTACGCACCCTGACCAGGATCAAACTGGCAACCCCTCCATGCGTGGGAGGACACTCACTGAGCCACACCAGCCAGGACAAGACTAAGATTCTAGACTTGCTTTGTTGCCTTCAGATGTTAAGGCTCTTTACCTGACATGTCAGCGGACTTTTTAAATGGGTGTTCCTGCTGGGCCTGCTTTTCTAATCCCTTGTGATATACAAGCTGGTGTTCCAGACAGCCTGTGTTCCTCTTCTGTTTATCCAGCTACTTTCCCATGAAGCATAAGAGATCAGTTTCATCGTTGGCAGAAGCCGTGGTCTTCAGGTCTCGCAGGAGCTCAGTTACCTGGTTTTCTAACTCCAGAGCGGATTCTAGAGCTTGGAGGCCAGCCCTCCAGTTATCTCTATCAGCGCGCTTAACCCCAGAAGGCAGATTTTACCTCCACATGTTCTTAGATGTTTCAGCAACTGTTTTGCCTGTTCCCTCTTCATCTCAGCTTGGTCTTGGAGGAATGCGACAAGAAGAGGTGCTCCTGTGTCTTCTTTGTAATTACAGGCCACAGATAAATAAGCACACTGATGTGCCGCTCGTAAGATGCCACGTGATTAGTAGCAACCCTACACTCTTCAGAGGTGAGGCTCTGGACTTGGGATGACATCTCAGCTTTAGAGAAAACCAGGCATATCCAGGGCTTCTTTTTTCTAATAGCTTGACTGTCTATACTTTTGTTTTTAATCCTCACCCGAGGACATTTTTCCATTTTTTGTTCAGGTAGAGTAAGGGGGAGAGAGAGGAACAGAGAGAGAGAGAGAAACATCGATGTGAAAGGGACACATCGAGTGGCTGCCACCGGCACAACCGACCAGGGCCGGGGACAAACTGCAACCGAGCTCGGTACATGCCCTTAGCGGGAACTGAACCCGGGTCTCTCAGGACCGCAGGCTGACGCTCTAACCGCTGAGCCAAACCGGCCAGGGCTCACTTGAGGACATTTTTGCATTTATCTTCAGATAGAGCATGAGGGAGAGAGGGAGGAAGAGAGAGAAGCATCAGAGAGAGAGACACATCGAGTGGTCACCACCCACAGGACCCCAACCGGGGCCAAGAACAAACTGCAACCGATATACATGCCCTTAGAACAGGGGTTCTCACCTGTGGGTCACGATCCCTTTAGGGGTTGAACTACCCTTTCACAGGGGTCACCTAAGACCATCGGAAAACACGTATTTCGGATGGTTTTAGGAACTGAGACACGGTTCTCTACTGTCTCCAGGCAGGTCCGCCCACATACAACATGAGGAACTGTATTAAAGGGTTGTGGCATTAGGAAGGTTGAGAACCACTGCCTTAGAGGGAACTGAACCTGGGACTCTAGACCTCAGGCCAACGCTCTAACTGCTGAGCCAAACTGACCAGGGTTAATAATATCTTTTGTACTTATAACTTTGCAACACATTTTCACATTCATAAGCAAGGGAAAAATTATACTATGTTAGAGGTATGGGAACTGAGATTAAGTAATTTGCCCCCAGGCCACATAATTAGCAAAAGGCAATGGGGTGGGGAGAAGGAGTAGACCTGTCAAATTCTAGCCTTTCGACATTTGGCCCAAGGGTTATTCTACTATACTAAGCCATCTCTTTCATAAGTGCTAAGTGCCAAACTGGCATTTCCTAATGGCCCTATTAGACACTTGCAAATAAGTAATGGAACTTATTTTATAAATAGAATTACACACACACACACACACACACACAATCTGTAATTGTGCAAATATCTAGAATATTGACCCTAGTGATCTCACCAATATTGATATCTATCAAACATCTTTTATTTTTTGGTTTATGGCTTATTCCGTTTTTGGAACACCTGATATGTTTTTTAAAATCATGACTGTGGCCCTGGCCAGTTTGGCTCAGCGGTTGGAGCATTGGCCTGCAGACCAGAGAGTCCCGGGTTCGGTTCCTGCTAGGGGCACATACCGAATAATAATAATAATAAAATCATGACTGTAGTTCTGAAAGATGCTCCTATTAACTATTTTGATAACTTGAAATTCAAAACTATCTTGATCACCTAGTGCCCTCTACTGAAAATGCCATAGAATAACAATTCATTTCTTCTACGAAACTAGTGTGTGTTCTCAGGATAGCAGACGGCTTTCAATTTTATAGTGATTCTTTGACACGTTCTTCATTTCTGAGTACAGGGTGGGGCAAAAGTAGGTCAACAGCTGTAAGTATGTGAAACAGAGTTTATTCATGTGCTATCATGTATTAATTATTGTATTATTTTTCATACAAACAATTGTAAACCTACTTTTGTCCTACCCTGTATATTACATTACATACATGAAAAAATGTGTACTGTCAGTACCTAGCTCAGTGACCATGTAAGAGGTCACTCAATAAATGTTTGGTGAATTATTTTCTGTGTATTCTGTTTTATTCTAGTAGTGTTCATGTGGCATTCTTTTACAAAGTAATTCACTCCTTTGCAGTTTCAATTGGCCCTCGTTCATTTTCTCTTCTACTCCTATACTCTTGCCTGGAGACTTGGCAGCCACAGTAATTCCTGATCTTCTCCACTCCCACCCCCAACCTTGTCATTTTTGGTTTTTCCCAAAATACACAGGAAGTGTACAAGAGCTTGGGCCTTTGAGTAAGACAGATATGAATTTAAATTCAGACTGCCACTTCCTTGAACAAATGACTTACCCCTTAAAAGATTTCCCCTATGTAGAATCAGGAAATAGTCAACCTAATTCATGGGAACATCATGAGAATTCAAATGATGGGATGCAAAGAAAGGGCTCAGGACAATGCTGGTCACTTAGCAGCTGCTCAGTTATTGTTAGCTTGTATTATTTTATTACTTTTTGTTATATTTTAGCTTAGGCAGGTTTCTTGAATAATGAATTCACTGGTTAAGTGAATGCATTGGAGGCCCACTCTGGTTGCTGCTATACCTGACAGCATTTGCAGGATAGATTTGTTTAATAAAAAAAAAAATCTATCTCCAGGAAGAAAAAATTCCCACATTCTATAAATCTTTTTCATATCTCATGTTCTAACAATTTTCAGGCAAAAGGCTCACCCTAGATTCCCATCTTTTTCGGCCTCTTTATACTTATTAATAATTTTTTATTAGTCCTTCCTTATTCTTTGTGAAGGTGGTAAATAATGTTCATTCAGTAAAATGTGAGGGACCTGGAGCACAGAGAACAAGACACTTGGAAATCACAGAACTGGAAGAAGGTAGGAACAAAGTTTTGTATATTTTGCTATATCCTGGTATAAAGGAGTTGCCCACATTTTCATTTTGCTTTATTTTTACAGAAGAAAAATGGTCAGTTTTTTAAATTTAATTAAAAAAATTATTGCCCTGGCCAGTTTGGCTCAGCGGTAGAGCATCAGCCTGCGGTCCAGAGAGATCTGGGTTCGGTTCCCGCTAAGGGCATGTACCTCGGTTGCAGTTTGTTCCTGGCCGTGGTTGGGTCGTGCGGGTGGCAGCCACTCGATGTGTCCCTTTCACATCGATGTTTCTCTCTGTCTCTCCCTCCCTCCCCACTCTATCTGAACAAATAATGGAAAAATGTCCTCGGGTGAGGATACAAAAAAAAAAAAATTATCGCATTGCTGCATGTACATGGTTTAAAAAACCAAACAGTATTGTAAGGCTTATAATGAAAAATGCAATCTCTGGTCCCATCTCTCCTCTAAGATAGCCCCTCCCTTCATTCCCCAGGGGTCACCACTTTCTTGTTTTTGGCTGACTGCTCTGGTATTTAGACTCATAGTTCTAAATAACAAGCTATACTGCTATTTCCTAATATTTCCGTTTTAACCATTACCTATTTGCTACTATTCACCGCCCACCTTCATAGCCACACGCACACTTACACGTTCCCTCTTATCCCTCATCTAGTCCTATTGTGGGGTGAAAACTCAGACTTTGTTATTATGACTTTTATATACGCAGTACTCACAGTTGAACGAAGTATTTTTCCTTTCTGGTACTGCTTTTATTTTTCCTTACTAAATAAAATAGTTGCCTAGCTCTTTTGCTTACTTTCCCTCACAATTACGACAAATGACTCTCTCAACACTTAGGAAGAATTGAAATATTCTTTTTTATTTAAAATTTTTTTGATTAATCCTCACCTGAGGATATTTTTCTATTAATTTTTAGATAGAGGAGAAGGGAGAAAGGGAGTGGGAGAGAGAGAAAAACATCGATGTGAGAGAGACACATCGATTGGTTGTCTCCCACACTCTAACCACTGAGCCAACGCAGCCAGGGCTGAATTTAAATAGTTGTTCAGGACATGAAACATATCAAATGATCCACTGATTTCTTTTGTTTTTCTCCTTCCTTCCTTCAGAGCACTAGCCTTGTTTCCTGTTACATTTCTAATGCTTAGCACACATAGCAATGACTCAATAAATATCTGGGAAGGGCCCTGGCCAGTTTGGCTCAGTGGTTGAGCGTCGGCCTGCAGACCAGAGAGTCCCAGGTTCGGTTCCCACTAGGGGCACGTACCATAAAATAAATAAATAAATATAAAAAAAAAAAATATCTGGGAAGGAAGGAAGGAAGGAAGGAAGGAAGGAAGGAAGGAAGGAAGGAAGGAAAAACTAAACGTGCTTTAATGTCCGCAACTTTCTTAGTTGAACATATACTCATGATTTCTTTAAGGAAGAGAACATGAATGATATTTTTATTCTGCAGCCTCTTATGGTTTTCTCTTCCCAACATACATAAACACAATGGTTCACACTTAAACAGTAGCTTTAATTTCAAACTTTATCCCTCCAGACTTTGTTACAAACTCTGTTATAGTTAAGTTCTAAATGAGGACTATGTGATTTTTGGTCGTTTATAAGTTCTCTGTTTTAGTCTGCCCAAATGCTTATAAAATCCTTGTTATCCAGCTTTTGTTTTTGTTTTTCCAGGATATATCCAGATGTGGGTCTTTATCCATTAATTTTGTATCATATTTTTTTTGTAATTTTAAGTCTTCTTTTAGGTTCAGACATTTTTATTCAATTTATCTTTGACTTATTTTGTTTCTTCTGTCCAAATTATCCTGGATTACTCCTCAGACATACTCATAATTTGTAGTTGGGGTTTCATCTCATCTTCTCTTCTTTTGTGCTTCTGATTCTGTTTTGTACAGGCCACAACGGGCCACAACTCCTTGCTTTCTAATTAAAGATGTCAAACAATTTTTTTTTTTTTTAATTTTTATCCTCACCCCGAGGACATTTTCCCATGTTCTGTACAGAGAGAGTGGGAGGGAGAGAGAGAGAGAGAAACATCGACGTGAAAGAGGCACATTGAGTGGCCGCCACCCGCACGACCCAACCAGGGCCGGGGACAAACTGCAACCGAGGCACATGCCCTTAGTGGGAACCGAACCCGGGTCTCTCCGGATCACAGGCCAACGCTCCAACCGCTGAACCAAACTGGCCAGGGCAGGATGTCAAACAATTTTTATTTAATTTTTTATTAATTTATTTTTGTTACAGATTTTTCTCCTTTTTTTCCCCATTGACACCCTCATCCCCATCCCCCCTACCCCATCCCTGACTTTGTTGTCCATGTCCATTGGATATGCATACATGCATATACGTTCTGTAGTTTATCTCTTCCCTGCTTCCACCACCCCCTCTTCTGAGGGTTGTCAGTCTGTACCCTACTTTCACATCTCTGGGTCTACCCAATTCCTCAGACTGTTATGTTCATTGTATTCCCCAAATAAGTGGGATCATGTGATATTTGTCCTTCTCTGCTTGGCTTGTCCCTCCATGTTGTCTCAGAGGATAAGAGATCTTTCTTTCTTACAGTTGCATAGTACTCCATTATATATGTACCACGGCTTTTTTATCCATTTGTCTACTGATGGACACTTGGGCTGTTTCCAGATCTTAGCTATTGTAAATAGTGCTGCTATAAAAATGGGGGTGCATATATTCTTTCTGATTGGTGTTTCAGGCTTCTTAGTGTATATTCCTAGAAGTGGGATCTCTGGGTCAAATGGCAATTCAATTTTTAATTTTTTGAGGTAACACCATAGTGTTTTCCATTGTGGCTGCACCAGTCTGCATTCCCACCAGCAGTGTACTAGAGTCCCCTTTTCTCCACACCGTTGCCAACACTTGTTTGATGATTTGTTGATGGCGGCCATTCTGACAGGTGTGAGGTGATACCTCACTGTTGTTTTAATTTGCATCTCTCTGATGATTAGTGATGTTGAACATTTCTTCATATGGCTCCTGGCCATTTGTATGTCCTTTTGGAGAGGTATCTATTTAGCTCCTCTGCCCATTTTTTTTTTTTTTTTTATCCTCACCCGAGGGCATTTTTCCATTTTTTGTTCAGATAGAGTGGGAGGGAGGGAAAGAGAGAGAGAGAGAGAGAAATATCGACGTGAAAGGGACACATCGAGTGGCTGCCACCCACACGACCAACCAGGGCCGGGGACAGACTGCAACTGAGGTACGTGCCCTTAGCGGGAACCGAACCCGGGTCTCTCTGGACCGCAAGCCTACGCTCCAACCACTGGGCCAAACCGGCCAGGGCCTCTGCCCATTTTTTATTTGGGTTCTTTGTCTTCCTTTTGTTGAGTTATATGAGCACTCTATATATTTTGGAAATTAACCGCTTATCTGATGTATCATTGGCAGTGATGCTCTCCCATACAGTGGGTTGCCTTTCTATTTTGATGGTTGTATCTTTTGCTGTGCAGAAGCGTTTTAGTTTGATGTAGTCCCATGTGTTTATTTTTTCCTTTGTTTCTGTTGCCTTAGATGATGTATCAGTGAAAATTCTGCTGAGTATGATGTCTGAAATTTTGTTGCCTACATTTTCTTCTAGGATTCTTATGGCATGGATCACATTTTAGTCTTTTATCCATTTTGAATGTATTCTTGTGTATGGTATAATTTGATGGTCTAGTTCCATTTTTTTGCTTTTAGCTATCCAGTTTTCCGAACACCATTTATTAAAGAGGCTGTCTTTACTCCATTGTATGCTCTTGCCTCCTTTGTCAAATATTTATTGAGCATAATGTCTTGGGTCAATTTCTGGGTTCTCTGTTCTGTTCCACTGGTCTATATGCCTGTTCTTGTGCCAGTACCAGGCTGTTTTGATTACAGTAGCTTTGTAGTATAACCTGATATTTGGTATTGTGATCCCACCTACTTTGTCCTTCTTTTTCAAGATTGCTGTGGCTATTCAGGGTCTTTTTTGGTTCCATATGAACTTTTGAAGTATTTGTTCTAGTTCTGTGAAATATGTCATTGGTATTTTGATAGGGATTACATTGAATCTATAGATTGCTTTGGGTAATATGGACATTTTAATTATGTTAATTCTTCCAATCCATGAACAAGGTATGTGCTTCCACTTTTTTATATCTTCCTCTATTTCTTTTTTCAATGTCCTGTAGTTTTCTGCAAATAGGTCCTTTACTTCTTTGGTTAAGTTTATTCCTAGGTATCTTATTTTTTTATTTATTTATTTTTTTGCCGCGATGGTAAATGGGATTATTTTAGTTTCTCTTTCTGTGACTTCATCATTGGTGTATAAGAATGGCGTCGATTTCTTGATGTTAATTTTGTATCCTGCTACTTTGTCAAATTCATTTATTAAGTCTAGTAGATTTTTGATGGGGTCTTTAGGGTTTTCCAAGGACCAATCCGGTCCTTAGCTTCCTCTACTCTGCTGTTTAGTCCTTCCAATGTGTTCTTTATTTTTGCCATGTCATTCTTCATTTATTCTTGGTGGTTTTTAATTTCCAATTGGTTGATTTTCAATGTTTCTATGTCTTTACTCATGGTGCTGATGTCCTTACACATGCTGTTGAGCTTCCTTAAGATCATGGCTCTGAATTCTAGCTCTGTTAACTTGCTTAACTGTATTTAATTTATGTCATTCGTTAGAGGTCTCTTGTTCTTTCATTTGGGATTTGTTTCTTTGTTTCACCATTTTGGCTATCTCTGAGTTTTGGAGCCTGCCAAATTTTCCCTATGGGTGTTGGTCTGCTGTTTGTGGCTCCCTCTACTGGGTTTGGATGAGCGAGGGAGGACTCAACATTAAACACCACTGTCAAGTCTTACTTTCCTGGGTAGAGTTGCAAGCCCAGGAATGGTTCAGTTATCCTCTAGCTTTTTGCCTGAAGGCTATCAGTAGCAGTTACTTGAAGAGCCTTGGGTTCTCAGTTAACTGAAAAACTCCCTCAGGTGTTCGGCATAAGAGGACTTCCCGAGGGTGGGGCAGATGCTGGTTGTTAATGGGCCTCAATTTGCATTTTAATGGCCACCAGGTGGGGTTGAATCTCCAAGGGCAGGGCCGCCTCTCCCCAGAGCCCTGGGAAAGAGTAAGATGACCACCATCCTGTGTGGCCACAACTCAATAAAAGCTCTGAGTGCCCTCCATATCCCCAGTGTCCCCACACAGTTCCAGTCCAGTCGCCCTCCCTCTGCCAGAGCCCAGGGTGGGTGGCTGTGGCTATTTTAGCCTCTGTCCCAGCTCTGCACTGTGGAGCCGCTTGGGAGTGTAACCCCAGGGTGCTGCTCCCAGCTAAGACAGCTGCTGTTTGTGGGCTCCCAGTCCCCCTCTCGTGCCTCCATAATCCTACCAGGATCGGTTCAGTGTCCCTGGTTATATGGTCCTCACAAGCTGCTTTTCTGTTGCTTTTTCCCAACCATTTGTCTTTATTTTAGTTGTAATTCCAGTTTGGTCCTGGGAGAAGGTCTGTGTAGCTTCCATTCACTCCGCCGTCATTTTGGATTAAATCCCATCTGTTGTTTTCTTATCCAGCAATGTCAAACCCTTGAAATCTCATCTACAGCATCCACCCTGCCAGGTGTCTCCATCCTCCGCTCAGCGGTGCAGTAACCCAGGCCTCCCAGGCCTGCACGTGCCCAGCCGCCACGGCAGGAAAGCCAATGCAGCCGGAAACACCTTGACACGGCCCGAAACAGTTTTCTCTATGAAAATTACTTCGAGAGAAGTCTATCTTCTGAATCTTCTAGGTTATGTTCCTTTCCCTTTGTCTATATTATTAATCTCTCTTGGGCAGGAAGAGGCTTGGATGTCTGATATGGACCAGGGTTCCGAGGATCTGGGGCAGACTACATGCTGGTAGGGAGGCTGGCCACCAGCTCTGAGCAGTAGGAGAGCATGTCTAAGAGCATGGCCGAGCCGCCTTGAGAAGCAAATGATCCTTTGACACATGAAATATGTGGGGCAAGGAGAACTAAAAAACTGGATCATTTTTCAAAGAGTATCAGGCAAGATTGACTCTGGCTAGTAAGTTCTGGAGGCAGAGTCAGGAGTATTAACCTGAGGGAATAAAATACACAAGCATGTCGTAGCTTTTCATAGTGCCATGTTGAGAGGGAGTTATTAAGACTTTCAGTCAGTTTGCACAGTTTACTTTTTCCATCTACTCTACGTCCAGTATATCCATCACATACCCAGGCAGGATCTCCCTTGGCTCCCTCTCAGATCTCCAACTAGAGGCCAGTTTAATATGCTCATGTCCAGAGCAATTCCCAGTGTTTTTTCTTACATGGCTCTGCTATACTGCAATAAGACACTGTGGTCCCAATGTCACTGCCTGAGGAATAGGAACTAACTGATTCTCTGACAAACCAAACCAGGGGAACTCATGATCTGCTGTAGTTCAGCAAGTGCTGTGACCAGCACTCAGCCGGTTACAGGGACAGATCTGCCAGGGCACAGTGGACTACTAGTTGTGTCTCCCTCCCCACGTCATCCTTTCCCACGGAATTTTAGAAGTTGTAGTCTCTCAATACACATAGAAAGATGAGAGCCTACTATAACCAAAAACTGGGATTGTGGGTTTTAGGGGTTAAAGAGGGCCAGTTGCTCAGTGTTCAGCTTTCTATGGACTGTGGCTTTCTGAGTCAGCACGCCAGGGTTCATACAGTGGGGGAGGGATGCTCAGATGTCCTACCTTCAGAGGGGTGGACCTGCTCTCTATCATGAAGCACAGTATGCGTAGACTACCATTGTTTATCTGAATCCAACTCCATCAGCTTCATAAATTGAGGTAATTCCTTCTGACAATAAGTAGCATGTCATTCTTTATGTTCTGCACCGGTATGAATTTTGTCATTGTTCTTTGTCTTTTTATGTATTTTAGGCAGCATATGGGAGAGATCGAGTCAGGAGCTTCTAGGCAAACACCATTTAAAACTAGAAATGCCTCACTGATTTTTATTGTGATTACATCAGCCTGTTCTCATTCCTTCCAGCCTCTGACTGCGGGATTCCCAGGGCACAGTCTTGGGCTGGCTGCTCCGTTTGCACTCTCCTTCAGAGGTTTAATCTACTCTTACACCTTTACATCTGATACCCCAGGACTCTCAAACTGCTGTTTGAAATTCTGTCTTCTCACCTCAATTGTCATCCTTTATTTTCTGATTGAAAGACATCTCTACTTGTCTACTCCACAAAATTCTTATGTCCCTGATGGATGTATCCTAACCTTAATTATTAAGACTGCTAAACTAGCAGAGCCCAAAGTCATGGGGACAGGAAATAAACACTTTGTGCAAGGGCCGTTTGGTTAAACTGTGGGAGGCATAAGCCTCATTTCCATTCCTTTGGTTCCTGGAAAAGAGAGAGCACACCTTACAGTAGTCAGAGGTTTAGAGCATTTACCTCATACTGTAGGACCACACCCCAACTTCACACCTCAACACAGCATGGTTCCAGAGCTGGCAAAGTCACTGAGTTTCAATGGCCATGTCACTGTTCTGTGAGATCAGCTCTAACTGCTGCCGGGTGATGGGATGCAAGCTAAAACCTGTAAATCCAGTGGGTCTCACACTATTAACTCATAGTTATTTTGACTGAAATGATGGTGTATGGAAATTTCATATCATGTAGGATGTTTCCAGTTGTAGTTTTCAGTTGACTCCAAGACAATGATGGTCAGACCTAGACTCTAGGCAGGAGATTAGAAGATCCTTCTCTGGGGATCCACAAAAAAGGAGTTCCTCAACCAGCAGCTCAGCCATATCATTTCACACTAAAACTCAGAGCTGACATATGCTCAACTTTTTTTTCTTTATTGATTTTAGAAAGAGAGGCAGGGAGAGGGAGAGAGAGATAGAAACATTGATGAGAACATCAATTGGCTGCCTCCTACATGCCCTCCGCTGGGGATCAGGCCCACAACCTGGGCATGTGCCTTGACCGGGAATCAAAGCAGTGACCTCTTGGTGCAGGGGTCAACGCTCAACCACTGAGCCACGCCAGCTGGGCCTCAAGTTTTTTTTTTTTTTATCTTCACCTGAGGACATTTTTTCATTTTTTTGTTCAGATACAGCAGGAGGGAGAGAGAGGGAGAGAGAGAGAAACATCAACGTGAAAGGTACACATAAGTGGCTGCCACCAGCACGACCCAATCAGGGCCGGGGACAAACTGCAACTGAGGTACGTGCCCTTAGCGGGAACCGAACCCGGGTCTCTCTGGACCGCAGGCCGACGCTCTAACCGCTGAGCCAAACTGGCCAGGGCCTCAATTGTTTTTTAAATAATTTTTGTATTTGCCCTGGCCAGATTTTCTCAGTGGTTAGAGCGTCAGCCCATGGACCAATGAGTTGTGGGTTTGATTCTGGTCAAGAGCACGTGCCTCAGTTGCGGTTCTTCCTCAGCCCTGATCAGGGTCATGTGGGAGGCAACCAGTCAGTGTGTCCCTCTCATGTTGATGTTTCTCTCTCTCTCCCTCCCTCCCAAGATAAATAGAAAAATATCCTCGGGTGAGGATGAAAAAAATAGTAATAATTAAAAAAATTTTTCAATTACAGTTGATGTACAATGTTATATTAGTTTCAGGTGTACAACCTCACCGAAGGATATTTTTCCATTGATTTTTAGAGAGAGAGGAAGGGTGGAAGGGGGTGGAGGAGAGAGAGAGAGAGAGAGAGACATTGACGTGAGAGAGACATATAGATTGGTTGCCTCCTGCACAAGCCCTACAGGGGCCGGGGATCAAAACTGCAACCCTTCAGTCTGCAGGCCAACGCTCTAACCACTGAACAAAACTGCCAGGCTATGCTCAAATCTTTCAATTATCTTTTAGTGACATATTTTTCTTTTTTTTTTAGTGTCCTACTTTTAAATATGAGCAAAGAAATAATTGAGTACCATAAAGTTGAAGAAATCCTGTGAAAGAACAATAAAAATCAAAGTGAATAAATGGAAGAAGGAAATTTGAGGAAATAACAACTAGGTAAAGAGAAAAAAAACTTTAAAACAAGAGAAGAGCCCTGGCCGGTTTGGCTCAGCGGTTAGAGCATCCGCCTGCGGTCTGGAGAGACCCGGGTTTGGTTCCCGCTAAGGGCATGTACCTCGGTTGCAGTTTGTCCCCGGCCCTGGTTGGTCGTGCGGGTGGCAGCCACTCAATGTGTCCCTTTCACATCGATGTTTCCCTCTCTCTCTCTTCCTCTCTCTCCCTCCCACTCTGTCTGTACAAAAAATGGAAAAATGTCCTCGGATGAGGATAAAAAAAAATAAAAATAAAAAAAATAAAACAAGAGAAGATATTACATTCACAAAACGACACTACATAAGAAAAATATTCAGATAGCAAAAATTATTCTTTGGAATTAAAATTATGGTAGCATAAATGAAAAACTCAATAGAAGAGTTGTAAAACCCAGTTGAGAAAATCTTCTGGAGAGTAGAGCAAAAAGACCAAGAGCAGAAAATAAGAGAGAAGAAGAAGAAAAAGTCCCAAGAACAACTTCATCTGAATAATAGGAGTTCCTGACAGAGAGAAATAAGAACACAGTTGGGAAAGCATTAACAGAATAATTTATGGAAATTTCCCCAAATTGAAGCTCATGACTTTTCAGATTGAAAAATCTCAATGAGTGCGTATCACCAGGGATGAAAAAAGACCCACACTCAGACACATTACTATGAAATTTCAGGCACTGGAGACAAAGAGAAGAGCCTACAAACTTCAAATGAGACAAAAAAAAGAAGACTCAGACAAAGGATCAAGAATCAAAATGTCTTTTGACTCCTCAGTAGCAATACTGGAAGGCAGAAAGCAATAGTTAAATGACTTCGAAATTCTGAAGAGAAATATTTGCAGCCTAGAATTCTATACCCAGTATGCATGTAGAGGGGAAAAGGGTATGTTCAGACATGCAAGCTCTCAAAACATTTCCTTCCCATGCATCCTTTCTCATGAAGTTACTGAAGGTTGTGTTCCATCCAAACAGGAGATCTATAACGAGGAGAGAAGAGAAAGGAATCCCCAAGATGTTTGCCAAGGAAGGTCCTAGGATGACAGGTACACAACAAGTCCAAGTTGGAGTCGGTCAGAGGCCTTGGGACAGAAATATTTAGGAAAATGAAATTGATAGAATATGTTAATAAAATTAAACACCTGAAAGAGAGTCGGTTGAGTTAGGGATTATAAAATTAACTAAACACACATGCAAAAATCATTATCTCCAGGGAGAACAAAACATTTTGCAGGAAATGAAAAATGATCATAACCATATGTCACTCTGTTCTGGAAGCATGTATACTCATAATAATATAAACACTACATATTTATTTAATCACTGTACTGTGATGATAAAGAATAGGAACTGATTGTGCACGTTATGTGTTTAGTTGTGGTAGGGTGAGGAAAGACAATAGAGAATGCCTACAACTAAAATAACGTGATGCAGCAACACAAGCCTGTTATTTAGAGTATGGAAGTACATATGAAGAAAAGCATCTACAGTTGAAAGTAGTTGTCTTTTAATATATCATGTAAAACGTGTTGACCTTTTCAAAATGAGGACAAAAAGTTATTTGATAATCTGAATATTTTTAGAGGTATTATTTAAGACACTGCAATAATTACTCTTCTTATTTTTTATCACGCCTTGTAAATGGTGAATACTTGCAATTGTTTTTTTGAATTGAATCTTTTAAAATGTGTCAGAAGTTGTAGTACATCATTACTAGCCTGTAAGACCCTTGGGATGTGGGGTTATTTCTTGTCCATTTTTACAGTTTCTTTATGACACAGTGTAGCATCATTTATATTTTACCTGTGTTAATGTGTAGGATTTTGCATGTTTTTTTCTTCTTTATTGATTTTTTTTTATTCCTCACCTGAGGATATTTTTCCACTTATTGTCAGATAGAATGGGAGGGAGGGAGGGAGGGAGGGAGGGAGGGAAGGAGGGAAGGAGGGAGGGAGACAGAGAGAAACACGATGTGATGTGATAGAGCCACATGAACTAGTTGCCTCCCACAGGAACCCCCAGGGCCTGGGATGAACCGCAAGCCACGTACGAGGTATGTGCCCTTGACAGGAATCGACCCATGACTCATTGGTCCTCCAGTCGACGCTCTAACTGCTGAGTCAAACTGGCCAGGGCAGGATTTTGCATGTTTAGGTTTCATCAAGAACGAAGTTAAAAAAAAAAGAACGAAGTTAAATTCCTTTATGTGTTATTTAACGTATAAACAATCCTGAGTTGAATATTTAACTTTACAAATAAGATCTGCTTTTCTCAGTTCTATGAATCTAAGCTCTGCCTCTCAATCAAGAAGTCAGCCACTGCCCTGGACAGTTTGGCTCAGCGGTTAGAGTGTCTGCTCACAGACCAGGGAGTCCCAGGTTCAGTTCCCACTAAGGGCACATACCTCAGTTGCAGTTTGTCCCTGGCCCTGGTTGGTTGTATGGATGGCAGCCACTCGATGTGTCCCTTTCACGTCGATGTTTCTCTCTCTCTCTCCCTCCCACTCTACCCGAACAAAAAATGGAAAAATGTCCTCAGGTGACGATAAAAAAAAAAAAAAAAAGAAGAAGTCAACCACCAACAATTTTTTTTGAGTACTTATTATGGGCAAGACAGATAACATAGTTCTTTATTAATCATATTACATTCTCTAAGAATTTTAGAGATTGCTCAAAGTCACCCAGAGAAACAGGCAGCACCACCTCTTCTAAATCAGATTATTTGCCCTAAACCAAACTTTTGGGATAAGGTCACTCAAGAGTAGGTGTGAGAAAAGAGTCAGAAGGGTTTATTCCACTTGAGATGAACAGGCAGGCAGTCTAGTTTGTCTGCAACTCAAGTGTTGATGGATAAAAGACAAAAACTAGTGTGGCGATTCAGCTTTCACTGTGTTGAAAGAGGATTAAAAATAGAAAGGAATTCTCTTTAGGTTTGGACAGTGAAGGCTGAGATATAGAAAGAACCTTTGTAAAGGGCTTGAGATATTTTTTTCCCCACTGAAGAGCCCAAATTACGAAACTGCCAGAATAAACGCCCTGCCTGCTCGCTGGTATTCCTCATGTTTCGATTAATCACATGACTGTCCTACATCAGCAGTCTCGATAAATCCACACTTCCACAGGGTTAATGTGAGATTATCCAGACACTATTTAAAGGGCCAGAGATCAAGGAAACAAAGAAGCCTCTTCACAGGGGAAGTGAGTACTTTTCTAGTCCTCAGGCACTTGGCAATTTCACAAAGTAGATAGGGTATATTTGTTAAGCAAATCTCTTTCAACAGATTCTCCTCTTCTCTGTTGGTTCCCTCTTATTATAAATGGAGTTTATATTCTATGCCTCCAAGAGGAGGCAATTATTTTAAGTAGAACAACTGTACTACTTACTATTTGTTGTATTAATGATTGTCTCCTGTATGGACTCTTATCTTGGACAGCTTAGGTTAAAAACAAAACAAAACAAAACAAAAAAACCCCAAAACAAACAAACAAACAAAAACCACAAAACAAAACAAAAACCTCAGAAGAGCATCCCCAGGACTTCAGGGACTGTAAATGTCACTCAGAAAACGTGGAGCAGAATGGAGTCTAGGAAACTGTAAGTGTGAGAAAAGCACATTCATAGTTACCATTTAAACATCTGTCATATGGAAGGTAACCACAAACTTAAAAGCACTTATCTATTAGCTTCTATAATTTTAAATTGATATTCAGAGACATATTTTCTAGATAAAATCAAAAGAAGTACTTTATATTTTTGGTATTAAATGCTGGAATATGTAATTCAATTAACACTTTGCTCTTACTGGTCTATACTTTTAAAAATGCTTTCATAGAGCCCTGGCCAGTTTGGCTCAGCAGTTAGAGCCTCTGCCCGTGGACCAGTGAGTCTCTAGTTTGATTCCGGTCAAGGGCACGTACCTTGGTTGTGGTTCTTCCCCGGCCCTGGTCGGGGTCATGCGGGAGGCAACCTCAGATCAATGTGTCCCCCTCAGATCAGTGTTTCTCTCTCTCTCCCTTACTTTCCCTCTCTCTCCCTTCCACTCTATCTGAAGATAAATAGAAAAATCCCCTCTGGTGAGGATTAAAAAAAATTTAAAATGCTTTCATAGATAGATAGATAATGCAGTTATTATCACTTACAGATTGAGGAAACTGAGCCATGAGAATTTAAGTGACATGACTAAGACCTTATTACATCATGAAAGGACCAGTGTTCTTATTCCATTGTTTTGTTCTTTACCATCTCTCAGTAGAAACTGTATCTTTGATTAATTACAGGCATTCCCATTTTATAGTTCAGTATATGAAGACAAAACAAAAATCTTAATGGGTTTGTCCAAGGTCATTCTGTAAAAGAAATGAACAGCTAAGAAAAATACATGAGCACTGACTTGAAATCCTGTGATCAAATCACTTGACCACAATAAATGTAAGAAAGAGTGAATGCTAAAGAGTTGTGCAGAACACATTGTCCATTACTGTTCTAAAAGTTTCTCCTAGATAAAAGGTTTCCATTAAAATCCATTTCTTCTTGGCATACTTTGTAGCTTTTATATAACTACTTGTCTCCTCTAGAAACATTAAAAACAAAAAAGAAAAAGATTTTTCTTGGGTAAATAATAGAGATGTAACAATGCTGTAGGATGAACAAAAGTTAGAAATTTTTTTTCAAAGTACAGGATTATGCTTATCATATAGCTGTAAAGTTTACAAGAGGCATAAACTACTGTGTGGCCAAATAATTTAGATAATATTACAGTAACCATCTGTTAATCTAATTAAGTCCAAAACTTAATTTTAAATAAAAGAAACCGCTATACATCAGACACATGATGGCCTTAGTTTTCTTTTCATTTTTTAATATTATTTTTATCCTCACCCAAGGATAAAATTTAAAAAAAATTTTTATCTTCAGATAGAGCGGGAGGGAGAAAGGGAGGGAGAGAGAGAGAGAGAAACATTGACGTGAGAGAGACACATCAAGTGGTTGCCACCCACACGACCCCAACCAGGACCTGGGACAAACTGCAACCAAGGTAGTTGTCCTTAGTGAGAACTGAACCTGGGACTCCCTGGTCTGTGGGCAGACGCTCTAACTGCTGAGCCAAACCGGCCAGGGCTGGCCTTAGTTTTCTTAAATAATATTAGCAAATTTAAAATAATTTGGATACTGTAATGGAAATGTGTTATTGTTTGGGCCACCTGAATGACTTCCCTGTATTTAGAGAATTCCTCACTCAAAAAATCTTGGTGGCAAGCAAAGGTGTTTCCTCTAATGAGAGTGGAAGATGTCAGATAATCTCTCCTTCCTTTGCCCCCAGGGTACAGGCCTGTAACCCAGGCTTTTCATTCAGACACCTGTGCTCTACCTTTGCCTCCTGGCCTTTCTCTCTCCGTCTCCTATTGGCAGTAGATGTTACTGCGTGCTATAGTTTCCAGCGCAGGAGTGGCCAGAGTCAAGTCAAGTGCGTTGTCTAGAGCTTGATGTCCATGGCACCAGATGTAAGGTGACAACCTTGTCACAATTTGCCTAGCATTTCCCCAGTTTTAGCAAGGAAAGCTCCCGATCCCTGGAAACCATTCAGTTGCAGGAAAACAAGGATGGTTGGTTACTCTAGCCATCTTCCTCATCAGATCAGTTCTGTGGGTGGTTTATCCCTGCTACTTAGGTTCAAGCCTATTTTTCAGCTCTCCCAGCATTTCTGTGAGCCACCCAATATCCCTTAAAATTTTTATGCAAGTGTAACCCAGTATCCTTTAAATCAAACTGTTCTGCTTAAATCAGCGAGAGTTGGTCTCTATTGCTGCTGCTACTTATAACTTTGACTGAAACAGACACCTTTGTGTGTAAGCAGTTTGGAAACCCGTGTTTTGCAATGACCCTACAAATCATATTGGTTTGATTCTGCTCATAGGGTTATTATGGACCCTACTTGATATTGGTGAAACCTTCTAATATTTTGAAAGATGCTGCAAAGCATCATCATGATTATCCTAACTGTATTTTTGAAATACTGAGATATTTTGATGGTTGAGA